CATCGCTTTTCTTCTTCGATTATAGCTGCGGGCCGTCGCTGGCTCGTGGTTCCGTGTCTCTATCGAGTCGTGGCCGCGATCGGGACTTCGTTAGCCTCTCATCGCTTCTCTTCGTCGATTATAGCTGCGGGCCGTCGCTGGCTCGTGGCTCTGTGTTTCTATCGAGTCGTGGCCGCGATCGGGCCTTCGTTAGCCTCTCATCGCTTCTCTTCGTCGATTATAGCTGCGGGCCGTCGTTGGCTTGTAGCTCTGCGTCTCTATCGAGTCGTGGCCGCGATCGGGTCTTCGTCAGCTTCTCATCGCTTGTCTTCGTCGATTCGGAGCAGCGACCGTTTCGTTGGCGTGAGGCCTCTGTCTCTATCGACTCGTGGCCGCAAGCGGGCCTCCCTCGTCCTCCCATCGCGAGTCGCAGCCGCTGCGGGCGTTCGTTGGCGTATGGCTAGGCCTCTATCAGAGTGTCAGCTTATCGTCGCACCCCTTGGACGATTCGTTTTAGTGACGATGAAGTTTTCGTCTAGGGCTCCTCGAAGCGTCTGCAATCGATGACTGCGTGTCACGTAGAGCGCCGTATCTCGAGTATGCATGGGTCAGAGAGGCAATACACCTCGACACAAGCGGAGGTCACATGTTATCGTCCCAAACAAGATTCTCGCCCCACGAAGAAGATTCTCGCCCCACGAACAAGGCCTCACAAGAAAGGCGCCAGCGATTTAGGATTGCGACGAGTAACTTACATAACGAGGCCCCCAAACGAGCAGCATCCGTGGCTCCGTAGCAAACCGCGAACTGCAGATGTCTGACGAGCGATCGCAGAATGGTGTGATAAAAATCCTTTTCGCGACGGCGTGGTGGTCTCGTAGGACCTTGCCTGTTAGACAGTCAACCACAGAGGAAGCCGAGAGAGGGCTGCGCCCGATCCAAACGAAGAATAAACCGACGCGGAGCCCGGCGGGGAGCAAGAGAAGGAAACAGAGTATTCAGCCGAATAGATCGAGGGTTACCGGAGAGTTCAATTTCGAAATCGGGTTGGCGAGAGAGAGCCAGGCAGAGCGAATTACCCTTACCGACACATCACGGTAGTCTGCGAAGAGTCAGGAAAACACACCAGTCACAGGCTTAGCACGCCTGGGTCAAGGAAGCAACAGCAGCAGCAAGCCGACAGTGTTACCGTCATCAGTGAAGAGATCAGAAGGCTTCGGCAGCTCACTCTGGATCACAACACATACCCGCTACTCGCGCATTATCAGATGCAAAAGCGCTTCCATACCGAGTCGTCCCATCGGGCGGTCAGGTGTCCTTTTTGAGGCGCTGGAAAGAACAAGAGGCGGTCAAAGGCGGGCAGCAACGGCTCAACGCGCGGAGACACGGCGATGCGCGAAGAAAACGCAGAAGGAGGCCTTCGACAAGGAGGCGGAAGACATGATAGAGAAAACGATGGACGGGCGATACCGGCCTGCACACAGAAGACAGACAAACAACGACACACGACAAGGCTCGCAGAGGCCTCGGGAAGAGGGATATAGGCGTTTGTCGATGGCGGGCGTCCGGCTTTCCACACCTACGACCATCACAAGGCACCACATTCCTTTTTCCTGTCGATACGCTCACCAGAGCCCAGTATCAACGGACCGGCGACATGAGACGGCCAGATTGAGATGTTGAGACGGATAGAGAGGAGACATATGTAGCGGTCACAGCGCTTGTCGAGGGACTCATCAAAAAGACCAACCGCCGCCGATCAGACCAGGGAACCGCACGTCGCATAGCGAAACACAGAGCTGTCGACAAGCATAGAAGCGCAAATCGATCACGAGCCACATCACAGGGGACGCGGAAAAGAGGAGCGAATAAAAGC